AATCAATACACCTTTTCAACACTCCTTGGTGCGGACAACAGTAGGCACGATGTGGTTGGTGGGCTAGCATTAGCAGCTGACAAGCTATACACTTAGTGCAGTGGTGGAGCAAACAATCTCACGGTTTAAAAGTTGACTCCATAAATTCGTAGTCTGAGGCCACACGAAGGAATAAGCTGTTAAAAGAGCGTTGAATGTCAACAGCCTCTTCGAACTGAATTCGTGGATAGGGCGAAGGTAGCAATGTGTGCCGAATGGTAACGATAGCCCCATCTGCAGTCCGCAACAAAAGTCCTGTACCAAATTTACCAGAGGTGATGCAACATTACCATTAAGTGCAGAAAAGTAGTTTGAGCTCAAAATCTAAGCAAACGAACCCTAAATAGTCGTATGGACGAGAAACTGTGCGCAGAACATGCGCATTTTATTTCAAAAATCCCCAAAGCAATAGAGTTAAACGCTGGACCGGCTTCCTACCTTACCACACTCACTATATTCAGAATCAATAAAGCGAGTAGGGCTAAGTACACTATTTATAACATCATATCGAACCACTTAAAACCGGTGTGGTTAAATTCTTTACTTTTATACTACACCTCATAGCATAGCACGAACAATCATTACATACAATGTTTATTCGCAGCAACATATGTGCCAAAAAAAGGGCTGAAAAGTGTAGCACGATAACAATTAAGGCAGATAAGCAACCGTCACTTTGACACCACAATGAAGAGTCGCCTACCCTACCCCAACAACCGCCGCGGATTGTCCTTCGTCTTTGACAACTAAGCGCCTAAACAACCACACACTCAATAGCCTTAAAAAGGCGTGTTTTTTGCGAACCAAGGTATTTATGTCAATTGCTATATGTTAGATTAGAAAATAGCAGAGACTAGATTTGGAAGTTGGTATTTTTAATGCCATGCACATTTAAAATAATGGCTTTTATATTGCTTCACAGTGGCTTAAATAAACAGAGACATATTATTCGTCGACCTACTTAGAGCAATGACAAGAGTATATTTCGATAATACTTTTGTTGATTTTGGTATTCTCAGTTTTAGCACATAATTTGTACACTTCCTCTCGAATCAGCACACTCAAGGATGTAGTTTAGCAACTTGTACGCTTTTGATGAAAAATGATTAGCTGGATTTACTTTTCGTCAAAGTCGAATTTGTCTATGCAGGATTTTCTGGTGGGTAGACAAGTGGCTGAAATGCGTGGACGTTTGCAACACGGAATATGCTGATAAGTAGGTACAAAGGGAACGAGTTCGAAGCTGATGGTGAGGTGGCATTTATTAAAGATTTTACTAAATAAGTGCAGCTTTTATCAACAGTAGCTAGTCAAACATTTAGTGAGACAACAATTCAAATGGTAGGGATAGTTGTGACATTGTGCGATTGGGATTTGAAATCGGTTATCTCTGTTCTCTTTGCACCAAATATAGACGCTACAAAGCAATAAATAGTTAAATGAGCATATCATTGTACCCATCTGTATCTGACTCAGCCGAATGATGCAGTGGACGCTTTAGGCACTGGCCGATTCTGGAACTTCTGGGACTTCGCTTAGTGGGTTGAAAATCACGGATGGACGGCATATCGATGTGTCTGACCAGCAGTGAAGTGAGGCTAAGGTGACATAGCGCAAGAACCCTTTTAAACTTCATCCACTATTATGTGTTTCCGCTTTTATGTAAGTTAGCCTACGGTCAGCATTTGGCATAAGAGACGGCCCCCATTTTCCGTCTCTTGACTCTAGGTCCTAGCCTGGGCAATACCTTAAATCCATTGGGAGCGTTTGGACTGGTCAGTGGCGTGAGGTCAAATGTGCTTTCGACCGCACACAATTTTGATAACTGCAGCTTCCGAAGTTCGATATACGATTGGAAACATGCGAAGCTTTTTCATCTTAACGTATGGTTTTATTTTACAAGCACTCATATACCCTTCGCATGGTGCTATACTCTCTTGATCATGCACACTAAAATACACCATATTGTGTGACCGTGAACTAATTAGGTATTTAGCTAGAACTGCAATCTTCATTTTTTTGTCTAGTAAATTGTCTAATCTTACTTCGACAAATAAGGACTTATTCGCCTTTAGTTTGCTGCCCTGGCTACTTTTCTATTGTGACGTTCCTAAATGATTGAGGCCTGTGATTTTGTGAGGTCACACGTTGACGCTTCATGCTATAGATGACCCGAAAATTATCTTTTATCACAGCATTCTTTTCCACCTTTCACCGCTGGCTCTATGAAGTGTCATCCCTGTTTTGCATTCTGACTAAAAACCCACAGAACGGTCCTGAGTAATACGCCTTCCTTAGCACACAGGTTGATAAAAGTGATTTGGAATTTCAAAATTCTCAGACACTTGAATTTGTCCTGCTTAATGTTTTTCACGTTACTGGGTGCACATCAAAATGATGGTATTATAGGCGATTTTTTTGTGGCCCTAATAAAACTCTGAATACAACCAGTGGAAAGTGCTTCCGTGACTATGCCGCTCCAGCCACCGTTGTGCAGACCCCAGTCTCCGCATGTGAGAGCACGCCTTACCCTCACTTCCATCTGCCACGACCTGAACCGCGTGTGTGCGCATGGCTGGCACAGCAACCAGCTATCCCTGCAGTGGCGTCTGAGGCTTTACGGTGTTACTAGGGTCCTGAAAGTTACCGTCCCTCGGGTCCAAAATTCCTTTCGCTTGCATACGTGACTCAACTTGCTCACTCGGACCGTGAGTCGGCCAAAAGAGCTTCCCATCACTTTTCCAATACGTGATTTTACCTAACTAGCACAGACTCATTTTCCAGGGCAAAACCAGGACCTAGAGGTGGATCTCCATCTTCAGCGTAATATAAGTGAAGTAAACAAATGAGACAATATTTTACCGAAGTATACACGCCCAATGGTCTACCAAAGGCAACAATCAGTAGCGCAAATAGGATATGAATCTGATTGAATAAAAGCACACTTCGAAGGTCTATACACAGAGTGAATTATAACAGTTTAAGATTGAACACTTCTGACAGATTGAACAGTAGGGTCGTCAAATGTGTCTTGAACCTGAGTTTGGGATATCAGCTGACGTTTTGCATGCATCTCTCTCCGTATCTCCTCCTCCTGTTCCTCCTCCTTCACATCAAATTGCACGGCCTGAAATTGAATGAATAACGGCAAATAATTTGAACATTTCAAGACAATCGAAAAGCAAAAACTCAAACTCACAGGTTCTAACACAGGTGGATCAGCAGGGATTGAAGTCTGTAGACTTTCGTCCGATTTAACTTCAGCATCGTCGTTTGTATCCTCACGTTTTGGAATATCCACGGGCTCGAGGATTTGTGACGAGCTTGGTGGAGGTGAAGCAGGTGGTTGCGGTGTCGGTTGCTGTGGCATAAGGCTCACCGGCGGTGACGCATTCTCCGAATAGTACATGTGCAGTATGTCATTTGGAGGTGGGGGATGGAAGATAATCATACGGATAAGAGCCTCGTTCGGCAGGTTGGCCACACTCCGCGCATTGAGACACTTACGCATGTGCTTTGCCACATCCCACTTCCACTTGGATCGATAGTTGCAAAAGCAGCAGCCAAACATCTTGTGGCTAGAGTGATTCACCACATGAGCCTTCACTTCACTATGCCATCGGCCAACGTAGGGGCAGACTTGACACGGCACCGGCGCCTCTTCCGACCGTTTTCGATCGTTACTGGATGTTACAGGTTCGACCTTTAGATCTGTCGAACCGATGAGGATACTTCCAACAGCTCGCAACAGACTACGAGTGCTTGACGAGACCGAATCCGTTGTTAGGACACTGGGCGGCTCCGCTTTGAGTGCATCCAGAGCTGATTGGATGAGAAGAGTAATGATCACACGGTCGTGAAGAGGAGCGCCCGCATCCACCTCGGTCATTCGCTCAATGGAAGCCTCGTTCTCCCTTGGTCGAGCCATGGACAAGTCAAGAGGTGCCGATTGCCCAATTGAAGTGACGGGAATGTCACTCCGTCGCCTCTTCACCATTGTTGCAGAGGGTGATTCCTGAGGAAGTCGGCGGAGCGAGGCGCGCATCCTAGACATCGGTGGAGAGGGTCGAGATACAGATGCAGAGACACTTTCGCTAAGTCCAGAGTTGTTCTGTGAGTTGCATTCCTCCTCCGTATTCATTCCTATGGTACTGTCACTCGTGCTGTGCTTGTCTTTCCAGTGCTTATTGAGGGACTTTTTGTGCTTGTACACGGCACAGCAAAAACGACATGCGAAAACCACAGAACCGTCGTTGCTCTTGCGCTTTAAAATAAGGCAATTTAAGGATTATGTTGGCGAAAATGCATCGTGCCACCTCCTATCGGCACGATAAGGGACGTAAAAGAAACACTCCGTGTTAATGAATGTCGAGCATCATTTAGTACAAAATGGTATGCTCATCTTTAACACACTAACACAAAGAATGAAACTTAAGTTTCCAGAGGGAAGGCGAATGGAGGTGGATGCACTATGAGGAATCAAAACAAACAGGGAAGCAGAAAGGCAACGCCAAAATTTGTACATGCGGGTATTTCGTTGCCATCTGCCCGCCATCAGTACGGTCACCACGACCCATAAAATTAGCTAATCATGAGGACACTTTTGAGCAGGCAACTCTGGACCTCTGTCCTTCCATCCCCCGATTTCACTCCGCAATGTTGCGCCATTTCATCCGATCTGCCCAGAGAACAATCCACTGGTACTAGCGCAGGCGAACGTCCTGACTGACGCAAATCTCTATTTGCTGTGCAGATCGTGGCTGCCGACGGCACTTTGAAGATAAAAACTTTATTTCAGGCAGAAGAACAAGCTCTCGCCGCCTCCCCCATCCCCAGGCCAAGTAAGAGACAAGCTAATGCAGAAGCACGTTGTGACACGCTCATCTCCGATCGGGAGAGCGGACCAGAACTACGTCGACACAAGTTTGTACACGAAAGCAGCAGTACGACGTGGATTATAACGATCTCTGCTGGGATGGAAGCGCAGCCTTTGTTACAGTGTATTTCCGTGATAATAGGTGAAATGTGGCACCTAGATTGCCATCATGTTCTGTGGCTTCCGCTGCCTCACATAGCGGTAAATGAAAACCAAGTTTTTTTGTTCTACGGCAGGAGCATTGACAATCATCATCTTAACTTTCGAAACAAAAAGCAATACAAAAAACAAGTCGCTTAGAATTTGTTGAATTGAAGAATTTAACAAACTCTTCAGCAAACATTCTCACGCTAAAGTTAATGTGAGGTTCTACACTTTGAAGAAATATCTCAAAAATACACAAAGGCAGTGTTTTCAAACCTCATGATACTTCCAAGCTTCGACTGGACGCCTTAATTGGTACTGGAATTGGACGCCGTAATTCGAGGTCGTGGGTTGGATCTGTTGTGGGCAATTTGCGATTGGATTGAAGGGAAATGACTCCGATTGATCAGACCTACCGCCTGGGGGGATATTCTCCTTGTCAACAGCGTCCGAAAGAGCCTGCAACGTCGTCATGTCAACAGGAGGGCACAATTCGCCACCTTTTTGTGATATTTCACACATTTGCGGCGGCATGGCACCTTCTTCCACTGTGGCACTCCGATCCGCCCCAGACGGAAAGCGCACCCCAGACATGACGCAGAGAAGTGACGCTGGCGCTTACTCAGATTTTTGGTGGGAGTGGATGTGCGTGTGCCTGGGGTGCGCTTGAGACGCTCCGCCAATGGCGCTAAAACCACCGTGCATTTAGGTGCGGCCATGTGTGTGCGTGTGCGCACCCATCCTGACAGCCTGCCATGGGTTGAGCAGCTGCCTGAGCGCAACTGTGTTGCGGACGTGTGTGGGTGCACGCACGTGCACGTACGCACGCACTCACACAGCCGAAACGTGACCGGCGTGCAGGTATTCTTATCGATTTTTTGGTTGACGCGTCTGCCTCTTCAAAGCGCGGGGATGGATGGGATGGGGGGTGGGTGTGAAGGAAAGGCGAGATGCGTCATCATCCTCCGGGAGCCGCGGCTTGTGCTGCTCTGAGTGCTTGCGGCTCTCCATGCGCTGGACTCGAAATACGTGCTCTTTGTCAATAGGACCATTAATGTCCAAAATTTTGAAAGTCAGTCTGGCAACTCTATTTTTTGAAAATGAGGTGATAGACCTAAATCTTGACGAAAAGGCATAGACAGTGGAGCCAACTGTTTTGCATGATGGGGAAGGAAACTGGGTCACGCAATGCTTATTTTCACCAACCTGCTACAAAAAATATCATTTGAGGGGTTTGTATTGTGAGCGGTAAAGCCAATCAATTCATATCCACTATCACTTCCTTCACCAACATCTCCTCATCAAAGCATCTTTATCCCAGAGAAATCGGCTCTTTTCATGTTAGATTTATGAAAAGTTATTAACAGTATTGGTACTGGCGTTTCGAGTCTTCACTTAAGCTCTTCTGTTGGACTAAAGAAATGGCGGCTACTGACTAACGAGTTTACGCAACCGAGTTGGGGATCGGAACAAACGCCAGATGTAGCATGTAGCCATCGGACGTTTCATATGTCATTTCCGACCTCACAGGATTCACTGCTCTGTTTATCAAAACTGGCAGGTAGTCTAGACATCTTGTTTGTTGAGTTGGTTTTTCGATGGCACCGATGCAGCAGTCTGAATTTTTGCAAATCCAAGAGCGAAAATGCAATACTGGAGTGCAGATAGTCCGGACAAATCACTGTCGACCAGTCTTAAGACTAATGTCGCAGTAAATTTAGTTGAATTGATGTAAGCCTTTTGCAGTTATTAATCGTTACTCTCTTCCAATTCACCTCCAAATCGCAATTCTTGCAGGCTAGGAGCACCTGGACTGGAGCACCGCAGTTGATCTGTGTCCAAGATAACGCAACAGATCCGCCTCTACGCTGCTTCACCAACGGGGTGAAAGTAATGCCTCGTCTGTGCAAAAACTTCCAGGAGTACGCTGTCACAGGATGGAGGACAAGTTGAACGGTGTTATTCCAGGACATGAAATAGCACGAATGGAGGGCACCAAAATCAACACAACTACGCAGACCTCTGGATGACTCAAGGTCGGAATTACTTTGCTAAAATCTGCTGCAATTATGTGATAAAATTTGAATAATTAAATGTGGATATTTTTGGAAAGAAATGTGAGTTCCAGTTTGTCAGTGAGTGCTAAGATCGTAACAATCTGCACACTACCGATCAACCTAAATACTTCAGGGGTTCTCTTTGCATAGCTTTAACTTAAAATAACCCGAAATTCTTTTAAGTTCCAACAATTAAGTCATTTAATGTTTATGAGGTTTTAATACAGGTCACAGAGGATCGTTAAGCTTTGGTTGCAGTTGGTTGTAGTCATGAAGCCACTTTTAAGGCGTTTGACGCAGCGATCGTCTTTTCTGGCAAAAGTGTCACAACTCCATTTCCTAAAGGAATCACAAGAGATTGGATGAGAGGCTCACCAACCAACCCATAGGTTAGGGGATCGCCGTCATTTAGGAAGGCGGAGTCCACCATCCGCGTGAGGAGGTAGATAGACTCATTGACAAATGATTTTAGAGCTTTCTAATGAACAGGCGACGTCAGTGATATGCAATTTTAATCACATTTTCAGCCTCGTTCTTCAAGTGGAGCATCTTTGTGTTCAGTGACTTGCAAAGCGTTTCGCCTTCCGTGTATGTCAATTTGGCGCGGCTCTTGAAGTAACAGAGGTCGGAACACTTGACCTCTAGACAATGCGGCCAAGACAAGTGGTTTAAAGACCCTACTTACCACCCACACCGGTTTCTAACGTTGATGGTGTTGTGAAGGCCCTCCACATAGGGGAGCACCGTCTCAACTCCAGGGTCGATGGGAGGATGCTCAAGTAAATTAGAATTATGGTCAGTTTTCTAAAATCGGACAACATTTTTAAGGAAAACCCAAGGCAATTGCCAGAATTAAATTCGAACTCTGTTATTGATTGAAATCGATTCGTCACAACTGCCATTCCTTTCGCGATGTTTTATGCTCTCCGTCACTTAACGTCGATAATTGGCACATTGCGTTTACTAATTCACACAAGCGTGAGCGCAATCAACACTTTTACCCCCTCCACAGGGGCTGTAAGTCCAACCTGTGGATAAATTCAATTACAAGCACACGGAAGAGCTGCAAGGCAACAAAACTTATGTGAAAGAAACCCCAAAGCACACCAAACCCCTCACATCTGCCCGCACACCATAATTCATTCATCGAGCAGAATTCCTTCCTATCTCCTACTGCATCTTCAGGGCTACTTATGAATGACCCTACACTTAGGAAAGACTGCAGCTACTAATCTGGGATAAGGACATCATCTTAGCAAAGTTCGGACGAATAACTTCCCCTACTTATTCATAAATAGTAGACTTGCAAAAGTAAATAAACCCTTAAGGTCACCAAAATTATTGCCAAGCCCAAGAATAATGCATTATCACATGAAATGAAGAGCAAGCGGCTGTTTCAATCAATCGTATTTACAAACCGATTTGAAATGGTGTCCTCAAGACTCTACGGCTACATTTACGCGGGTTACAGACCGAAGAGCACGTTCGTTAGTCGACTTGGGACGTGTTCGTCCTCTCACAGAACTTGCCCTCGATTTCGTCCTGGCATGCTTCGCAGGGGTAGCCACTGCCGCCGCCTTGTCGGCGCATCGTTTCCGATCCATTGTTATTACCTCACTTTTGGGACCTCCATCGCCAACTTCTCCGTCCTTCTCCTTTTCTTCCGACTGGGCGCCGTCAGTAGCATCTATGAGCGCCCTTTTGCCTTCTAATTTGGAAATTGGATCAAGAGCAACACCACGCCCCATTTTGCGTCGAAGCCAAGCCTTCCGTTTCCCTTTTCGATACCTCTTTCGCGCTTCTCTTTGCCTCTTTAGTAATGAATAAATTCAATGTAAATATGATCAAAGGCTACCCATAGCAATATTCGCAAAATACAGAGCAAAAGCAATGTTATCAAACTGTTTAGCTCCCCAATTTATGGAAATGGCAAATTTGGATGGATTACGATGAATCAGTCAGGTCTCGATATCCAAACTGATTAATGTTGGTAATGGTTTAAGATCCTACCTCTAATTCTTGCACAGTCCTTTCCAGATGCACACCGTTCGCCTCCGCCCACACACGCAATTGCCGCTTGGTCTCCTGGCCAAGGTCAGAACCATATTCACCAGAGTCCAAGTTCTGCGAAGCAACTACACTTTTTGGCTCAAAAGCGGCAGCATCAATGAAGGGATTCATTCTACGATAGCAGTCAGCCCTCACGGCCAAAGTCGATTTGGCCGCGAGCAAACGGGCAACTCTTCGACGAACCACCATAGCGCGCAGCCGACCACCGCTCATCTCAACAATGCTCTTTGCTAAAGAGGGTATTCCCTGATCACCCTCCCTCTCCTCACTGTTCTGCTTCCCGGACTTCCCTTCTACAGTGGCACTACTCTCACTTGTAACTTGAGTTAGTGCACGTCCCAGAAGGCCGGCAGCAGTAGCAGCAACAGCACCGCTTCGTCTAAATCAAAAATGAAAGCAAAATTTTGCTCGCAAATATTTCAATAAATTCCATAGAGACAATAATTATCCACCTGAAGAGGGATTTCGAAGCACCCAGGGAATTGATTCTAGAACTGGGCATTCTGGCAAGTCGATCGAGATTGACAGCGTGCGAAAGGAGACGAGCAGCTACAATCGCGGGGGAAACACGATCACCGATCTTTCGTGCCCTCTCAAGGGATGCATTATCATCTACTCCAGGAAGCGCTTGGGTCATCAAAGCTGTTAAATTGGGTACGAGTTCCCGGACCCGAAGTTCCAACATTTTATAGCACTGCGTTCTTGACTACAACAAGCGTGGATTCACAAGTCGAGTAAAATTTGAGAGCAAATAGCAACTGTAACAATACCTCGAGTAATTTGAGAAAAAATTGTCCATATTGCTGCAATGCCATGACATCATCAGAGGACAGGTCCTGACCAGTAGAAGTCTTTGCAAGTTCAATAATAGTTTCAGCCATTTTATGATCACCGCCTAGCCATTCTAACAGTTGCTTCTTATGTCCAACAAGCTGACTCCTTAGAGGGCACTGTGTAACGATGGAAGCAAACACAAAGTCATCCATACCGGGTAAGCCACCACCACGACACAACTCCGGAAAGTGGAGCCCATAAGAAACGCGCAGGTGTTTCACTGACCGGGCAAGGCTTGCGTCCATGCTGTCCAGAAGATCAAGAGATCGCACAACTCCTGTATCGGCGAGATGATGAACAAGGTCCAACTGCAGTCGGGCACGCGATAGAGCAACAACTAATCGAGCACGTTTTACAGCCTTTCGACCAGGAACCGTCTCCTGCGTGGAAGTGGTAGGCTTTTTAGCAGTGGAAAGGAATGCACCTGGCTCTACAATGAGGGATCGCAAAAGTCGGGAAGCGTTGGCACGAATGACCCGCAGCAATTCCCGAATGGAGGCGTCCCAAATGCATTCAAATCCAATATCGAGCTGCCTACAAAGGTCAGTGACCAACGCAGGATAACATGAAGAGCAAACAAGGGCCTAAGTTAGAAGACAACTTACAAAATACTTTCGCCTAGTGCCTGATCAGCAACGCCAAGGACAGCATCTTTAACTGGTAGATTCTGTCGTAGAAAGCCGGACAGGAGAGACGACACCCGACCCTCACTGATGATTTGTATATTTTCCAAGGCTTCAGGAAGAGAGTTGAAGGGGACAAAAGCAACTGGCTTCAAAAATGAATTAACGTGTGCAGTAAAGGTCTTGGTGATTTCGTCAAATTCCTTTACTAGGAAGAGACTATAGCCAGATACGTTTTCGAAGAGAACGTAGTGTTGAACAGTCTGGAAGAAAAAGTAAAATTAATTTATAGTGGGCAATAACAGCGACACAGCCTGCTACAACTCACCGCCATCCGGTGACCTATCACGCGCCCCCGTTAGTCAAACCCGCCTATAAGTTACACCAAATCAAACAAATCAAGTCATCACAAATGTAGAGACAAATCTAATAATCACAGGTTGCATAAAATCAATGCAGGATAATTACTGACCAACGATGCTTTAAAGTTATTCAAAAGAGTCACTTGCAAAACAGAGACACACTCCTTACAATTAGATAAAACGACTATTTCAATTTCGATTAAGACGCCTAATTTCCTTTGCAATGAGGACCTTTATGGGGATTCAAATGCGGCAAAATGATTTCTGACATCGAACTAAGTGATGTGGCTTTTTTAAAAGATGTATATTGTCACATTTTGTTCGTGCACATTGATGCAAAAAATCCGTATGCATTCTTTACATCTGATGAAAGATGCGTAAATTGCCGTTGATTCTCACTTGCTAAAAATTCCAAACTTGGATGTGCGGCTTCGACATTCGCAGCACAGTGGTTTATGGTCTGCCTTGTGGCTCAGCCTGCGTTAACGAGTTTATTAGCCACTGTCAAAATTAACACCGTTTTACCGTTATCGATGGAGACCCTAGGTGCTTCGAATTATGATGTTCACGAGGTACGGAAAGAGGCAGTGGTGGAAGGTATTCGCTCTGTAGCATTTGACATTTAATTTGCAGTCTTCCGCAACCGACTGAAAGAGTACTTTAAATCCACTAAGGTCAATGTTGTTCCCTGTCCAGATCTTACATCACCTCCCTTCGGGCTTTTGCGTCCAGGTTACTACTATTCTGGTTTTACTTAAAAAGTGTTAGGTCTTGCTGGTCAAAGTGTTGTGTGCGATGTGGGTAGCATGTCCTACCTTCTTCCTGTTGCTGATACGTCTAAGGTACTACTTTTCGCTTTTTATTGTTAAAGAAATACTCATTTGATCAAGTTGTCGAATCGTCGGGAGTCCATAGCGGGCATCTGCTAGGTGCTGGTGGCGGTCCTTTTTTCACGCACGGCAAAACTTGTGAGGTTAGCACAATCATTGACACTATTGTCCTTCGTACTTGTACAACAATTTCTCCTGCGTTGCGCTTTGAGGACCTAGCCTGTGGCCAATATAATGTTTCCTCCACTGGTTCTTGATCACCTTATTGGTTTTTCAGATGGCTGCAAGTCTTCAATATGAAAATGATAAAATTATTTCCAATTCCACCCTCCACGGTGTTTATGGTGAACAGGTAAGAGTAAATCATAACGAACAAAATTTTAAGCAGTTTCTGTCGACCCAATTTTGGCGGCCATTTGTCGTCTTATTAACAGTCTTTAACCTATTTTCATTTTCATTAGCGTGCCAGTATTGTGCCGCCCTTTTTACAGATATTTGGCGCATTGTCTGTTATTTTTTCCATAAATTCTACAACTAATTCCTTCGTGGTGATGCATACATGCATGTGACAAAGCTTATCCTGTCTGCCTCTCCTGCGATGGTTCATTATTTACTTTACCCATATACTCTAATCAAACCCACCTTTTCTTGTCCGAAAGTCGTTGTTCTTCATATCATGATAAACAAGGATACGTTCGTTGGTTCATTGTTGCTTAAGAAATCCGTTGGATACATCCGAACAGTGGAGATTTAAATTTCCATGTCTTTTAGACCGGAACCCCACAAGTGATCAAGGCCACTGACAACAACTTCGGTCTTGTGGGTCAACTCCTCTCAACCGAGGGCCTGCCTGGATCGGTAGTAGTCTGTATCCATACAGTTTCTCTTTAGATTTTCTTATTTCTTTCTTTGTACATTTTTTGGCACCAGGTAATCGAAGTGGATGTTGCAGACCGACTGAAGGAGGGTTCTGTGCACGTATTTTTGCGAGAGGCGCTCACAGATGCTTACGGAAAGTTGGACAAGCCGGTTGCTCTTGGTGGTGTTTTTGTGCTCACCGACAGTAGAGCTCGTTTCCATGTTCTTGTGAGTGTACACTAAGTCCATCACATGGGCATAGCATTTTTGATGCTTTTCTATTCCAGGTTTTCTAGTAGAACAAATTCAATGACCAATTATCAGGACATTCACTTGTCCAGTTTTGTGCTTCGTTGCACGAGTATGGGCAACTGTGAAATATCGTCTTAAAACTGATTTTAAACCATTATCCCTATTTCACTATCAACGTTGACACTCCTTAATGATGTCGCTATTCGTCCCTTTAGACAGTTATGTCGCCGTGGTTATTTCGTGAATCTCTTAGTCTTCTTTTTCAACTGTGCATGTAATAGTGAGGGTCTAAGTGCGGACTTCCAACTCAGGTTTAGACAGTTTTGCGCACCGTAATAAGGCTTCTTCGTTTAATTTTCTTCGAAAGGCACCTTTTATGCCGGAAGTTCAATTTGTTTACGTTCATAAGTCTGCATCAAAGTCCACGTTAAGGTCTTGGAATTGCACAGTGTAGGTGAATGTTTCGGTAGAACTTACCCGCCCCCTTTAGTGTCAGTGAAAATGACCGGTACTAGTTTTTTGAAGTCAGGGAATCCTCCTAGTCACATTTGATCTTCTAGTTCTAAATGACTTCATTCTGTCCCTATAGTATGCAAATTTGACGGATTGTGAAAGACTAATTTTGTTGATTTGCTGTCTGTGGACGAGCACTTACGCGTTCTCTCCATTATATCGCTAATCAGCAGCCAAATTTCCCTCCCCATCCTGTCGATACACCGGCGAGGATGGCAGAATTTATCAAAGTTTTCGAAATGGATCCTCCTGTCTTGGGCATGGGAACTCTCATATCCCACGACCCCGTAAGTCATACTTCAAAACTATCACACAATGAGACCGCAAACTGCTTTCATTTTTAGGTAATGACTCCATCGACTTGCTTAAATGCTCAAATGTCCATAAGCATTCTTATCCGATACCTTCTCTAGGGGGTGTGGAGTTCACACCGCAAGAAATGAGTGCAAAAGACAGAATAACGAATGGCGGTTAACTAGTAGCTAACGTAAGGTAAAGGGAAAGTGAAGCTCAAGGTTATCTCGAAAGAGCATTTGCAGATTATTCGAAAATGAAATATTTCCCCATCGTAGACATTGATGTGCTGATTTTGTTGTGTATTTGTTTCAGTACGGAATTGACCTGAAGTTGGAGCACTTCCATTGCTACAACGAGGCAAAAAATTTGGCTGGCCACTTTTATTGGGATACAGAGCCAGAAAAGGCGCATTATCGTCTGTACTTGACGGTGGCCAAGGGTTTACTGCGCATTGACCCCAAGAAAAAGACACAGTCGGTGAACTAATCACAACCTGCCTCGAGAATTAGCAAAGTGCTTTCTGATTGCAGTTACTTTGAACCCTTCCTTCCCAATCATGTATTACCCTTAGCGCTTTCATGTAGTCAGTTTCTTGTTCCTTATAGAGGTTACCAATTTAGGATGAAGAGATTGTAATGGAAGTTGATTGTTTGAGTGTGAAGGAGTGGAGCAAGGGGGAGGTGGCTCGTTTCAGGTGGAAGAAGACTGGTGTTCGCTAGTAGGAGATGATGCTTGGCTCAGATTGATCAGTAAGTTGCATAAAGAACTGTCTTACATATGCCTGGCGTCTGAATTTACGCATTTGACTTTTCACGAGTAGCTGGGGTTACACCTAGTTTACAAATTCTGGTGATCTGTGAAGACATAAGCTGTGGTGATTTGATTAAGCTTGCAACCATTCAGCTGCATGGACTTTTCGGTATCCACAGAACGACATTAGGCTCTGGAGCACTGCGCCGACGAGAGAGTTTTGAGCATTTGGTTGGAGGCACAAAAAACGAGTTGGATGCCTTGAGAGAACAATGCAGGGGTGTGGTGGTGTAAACAGACGGTATTTTTGGTTGTTGGGGTGTAAAAGGTGACCACTTCTCTTTCCAGAGGGGAGGGTTGAAGTAATTCCTTAATTTATTGTAAATGACTAGAGTGAGCAGATCGTTGGTAATCACTGGCAATCCTGCGGTTCTCCACAGCTCCACGAGCTGCGCCTTTGTTACTGAATTCGAGAAATTCTTTATAAATTCCTTCGACTCAAGCATTCTGAAAGATTTGAGTGGTCTGCGATCGGTCGTTGGTATTTGTCAAGACATGGTAGATGAGAACGAGAACAAGGCAGGAATCGGCAAGTCAACCATCAGATGTGCATGACAGAGTTCGATGGTACCTACTTTGTGGGTATTGAAGGTTTCAGCTTTTTCAGGTGCTACGTCTTGGATTCTCCCAATTTTGAGAGGACATGTGCACACAAATGCAACTGAGTGCTTGACACGTATCCGTTTCTTCAAATTTCAGGTGAACATGTCACATTGACACACAGTTCGAGAATGACTTTCTCTTACAAACAGTCCCAAAAAGTGAGCAACAGAGGGACGATTTTTTAAGTCCTTCGCATGTTATCCACTACTACAGTGTGCGAGGCGGCCATTCGCAACTGGCGCCACTTGTTTCCCATTGATGAAGTATACCTTCCGGATTACAATAATATCATCTTAAGATAATTAGACTGCGTACGTATAAATGGAAACCAATGAGCTTAAACAGCGGCTTTACTGGGTGTAGATTTTTATTCGCAATACCACAGCGCATTACGCCCTCGACAACTCCCCAACAAGCCGAAATACATTGAAGCGTTTGGAGCCCCGGATCCCATTTATACTCCCCTCTCCCTGAATGCAAAATTTAAAAATATGTGAAAATTAGTATGGCGACAAATGACCGCTTTTGAAAAGCATTGCATAACTTATGAAAAGAGGCATACCGGTTTGTCAGGTCCGGCGCAATTTGCCTCTAAGCTATACACAAGGAAGATCATGGCTGTGTAAAAAAACTAAATCCCGTGACAACGAGAGATGAGAGTCTATTCTTTTACTTTCAGTCAGTGTCAAAAGGCACTAGCCCTTTCGTATGTCGGCAGTACATTTTGATGGCGTAACACTTCGGAAAAGACGATCGAGACCGCTGAAAGCAGGAGCGATTATAGAGGTTAACTGTCCCAAATGACATTACCGAAAGGTAAACGCTAATGGGGCGGAGTAAAGGCTATGATGTCAGCAAAATGTCTGTGATTTATTTATTTTAACAAAAAACTTGAAAATGACATATATTTTCGTTAAATGCCTCAATCCCACGTTCCGGTGGGAACCCATAAAAAGCAAGACGTCGCTAGCCATTAATTACTAGAAAAAATTCCCAATGATGTCCGCGAAACCTGTATTCGGACACCAATTTGGTACGCTTTGAGGGGCTCCAACACTACCCTAGAAGATGGGCAAAATTACGAACAAAAACAGTCAAGTTATGAGAAGAAAAGACATAAAACTCCCGATGGCAATATGGTGACGTTGTCCATGTTGCATATACTAGAGTGCAAAGTCGACCTTTATAGGATAGAGGCGGGAACTGAATTGAAACGCGAATCCCGTGCGCCAGGGCTGTGAGGAATCTCTCTCCGGGTGATATCGGCTATTCGGCTCATCTGTACCCCTACTTCCATTCTTCCTGTATACAGTACCTAATAAATCGACTGCAACTAACTCTCTCTTGAAGTCCGTGGTTCAAGGGCATGAGAGTAGACAGGCAGTTCCTATAGTACTTTGTGTCATTACAACGATTTAAGCTTGGATCTCTGTGGCAAATGATAAAATGCAATTTGGAACGAGTAATTCCATCAATCCCAAGCACAGCTACAATGTAAAGTCAGAAATGAAGACCAGTTACAGTGCCTAACGCAGCGTGATTATGGAACCGTTTCCGATTATTCAAATGAATTTACTGCTTTAACTACTAAGTCTTGATGTACAACATGAATAAGAAGCAAAGATGAGTCTTAGAGAGAACGGTGAAGAGAGAAATTACACAATTAGTTTCCAACTCCGCCTTTTGGCCTTAGACTTGCAGTTCCTTAAGACAGTGCACACTGTGAACTGTATTGGTACATCCTATCCTCTATCTTCCTGCGTTGCCCTAATTTTGTTGAAATTGCATTAGCATTAGTTAGTGACGATTTTAGTCTCGTGACCCCCAACTATTACATGGCCCTCAACTGCATGCCAATTAGATACTCATTCTCTCAAGGTGATAGAGCGTTCAGGACCCACTGCATGTTTGTAACACCCATACCTTAAGCCTTTGTGTGGTAGCAACTTTACTTTATGCAGCTTAATATTTTTCAAGGCAATTAGTTAGTACTTTTTAAAAAGCCTGCTTACAATTAACTAATCCTTTTCCTTTCACTAACCGGAGAAAAAATTGGGCATTAATAGCTCTTGTTTATGAAGACTACTGCATATAACTTCGACCTTTATCTTCGGAGGCAATAAGCGCTACTTCCAAGTCGGTACATGTTCGTACGGTGGGGTGTTGACTTGCGTTCTAGGTAAGGTTCGTAAATGCATCAGTGACGTGCCTGCCTGTAGATTACCCCTTCTAATCATTATCGGCGGTCGCACTATTGTACCTCTGTTATTTTTCCCTGAGACATTTCCTTGGTTGATATTTCCAGTTGCAACACTTGCTAGACATAGAAGGAATAGGAAAAGTTAGGGGGCCATTGCATTCCACTCACCTTAACAACTGTTCTAAATATATTTATGGCAGATTCTGTTACAGTGTTAAGGTCTAGTATCTTCTTGGATGATATGCTTTTAACTTGTTAGATGTCAACATCAGCGAACTTTAAAAAGTCGCCTAACCTAAACTACCGCCAAGGAGGACAGTCAAGGTATGTTCCATCCAGCGAAAGCCATCATCCCCAAAGTATCCCAATCCAACCCTCAACTTCCTTTCTTCGTCACCCTGACGATGTTTTGCAACCAGCCCAACAGTCACCATCTGGAAGTCAGTGGCTGACTCCCCCTACCTCATCTGCTCTTCTGTCATACCAACACCAAACGGCCTCCTCAACGATTTTTCACCATCCGTCTTCACGACCTACCTTTCAGCTTCATCCAGAATGCTATAGCCGAATGCCCTCACCCATAAACTTACCGCATGCACCAGCGACAGCTTACTTGTGCAATTATGCTCCAGTGGATTCAGCCGCTCGTTTCTATGTCAATGGAAGCCTAACTCAAGCAATTGAAGGCTGGCCAACAGGTAAGATCGTCTTATAGGGTCACAGCCCAGTTTCACCCGGAAAACGGAACTACGAAAAATCTCCTTAAAGGGGGGAACAAAACTTTTTTAGTTTAGCACTGGGTTTAATGGTTAATAAATTGTGCTTGTGAATCATCAAGGTAAACGCTTTGCTTATCTGCCTTTAGCTTTTCAACCTCCAAGGACACCACAACCTAGCCCTCATCCAGGTTACTCTTTTCACCCTCACGAAATGGGTATGGCTCCGACCGATTCTTCCGTGTTACACCGTCCATCAGAATTGGACTTCGCAAACGCCTGCAAGGGTTCCATTCCTCCTCATTCAGTAGCTCAACAGGCTTCTCCAGCAAAAGCTAAACTTCTCTTCCCAGCCAGACTCCCGGTTATCGTGCCTACTGGTTCTCCACCACCGCTGCCTCCTAGGACGACTCGCCAGCCACAGACTCAGACACAAACACAGCAGCAGCGTCCTCCAGCACTGCCACCTCCCAGTACTGTTCAACGAGGCAAACAAACTGACCCCTGGAGCAATTGGGGCGGATCAACTAGTGTTACTGCCATCCCTTCTGGTGGTGGTTTGCCGCAGTCCATGCCCTACCTCTCCACACCTAGCTCTGGAAAAGTTGTGAAGTTTACAGGATCTGCTAGGTAGCCACTTTTCCAAAGCCTATTAAATTGCCATCCTTACTAGATCGCCATCATAGAAACTTGAATTCATTTTTCCTCTTCCTCTTTTTCCCCACATTGAGCACATTGATTCTACGTTCGTGTGGCTTACTCTGCACACTCAGGCAACTTTAGATATAGGCTTTGGAAATGAGATGGTTAATTCAGTTCCTGCAAATGTCGTTGCACTTGCACTTGTTTCTTTCCCTTCTACCTGTACAGGTTACCTCTGTACTTAAATTTGTCTCGAAAAGGAGCGAATTTTCTTACTTTTCTTCAGCATCTTAGAATAATTTTCTTCTCATAGTGTTCATCGACCCTCTACACTACTGCCGAGCATTGACGATTCATCGAGCGAGCATTGTCTCAAGCCGCGCTCATCGAACCCCTCAAAAGAGACAACACCAGTCGAAATGGGTTACAGGAAAACCAAGTCTCCATCTCCATGTCCTCTGAGTGGGCACCATGCTAAAACGAGCACTCCTAGTCGTCCGAGACAATTTCTGTCCGCTGAACGCCAGGCCTCGCCCAGCAATGAAATTTTTCGACAAAATATGCAAAAGGTATGCTATATTGGCTTGCGCACATAAATCCAGAAGCATTAGGCGACGGACTTGTGTTTTACTTTTTGCTCATTTGGCTTGTCCCCTTCATTACCACTACCGAAGCATGCCATTACGAGGGCTCTCCACAATGGGAAGTCACTTTTTTGATATTTATTTACAACGTCCTGATATTTTCTTAATGTACTTACTATTCTTGGCCGTTTTTTCTAGCACAAATGTCAGACGTCTATTTCTGCCGACCTTGAGGTTTGTTTTGTGTCTCGAGTTATTTGCCGTCACATTCGTGAGACTTCCCACTTTTTGTGTCTGCATGGAAAACAAAGTATTGCTTAAAAATGGGTCTGGCCTCTCTCGCTCTGAACTTTGAGAGCTTTCTCCTAAGAATGAAAACTTTTGCTGCGTTTTCCATGGGATGTGAGAGGGCATTTGCGAATAAACTGCTTAATCAGGAATCTGTAGATGCACATTCCTCCATTCCCATCTCTCACACGACTTTTGACTTTCTGCAAATTTAAACGGTTACATTATCGCAAGCATACTGCTTGCATTCACAATTTCTAGACTTTTAGTCTAAATTTAGGCATTAATTTGGCCGGTACAGCTAAGATCTGTTGACTTTTTGCGTTGCTCCATAGTAACTTTGCTTTGTGCGTTCAGTTGAGCACGGCAGTCGTTGCCTCTACAGCCTCAGCAGCAACAGCAGCAGAACACCGACTCGTTTGCCACCTCTCTGTTGCCAGCGATCAGGAATGCAGTCAACTAAAGTCTTCGGATGTGGGTCTCTCTGGCTCCCTCTCCTCTCCATCCTCCCGTTCCTCGTCCTCTGCCTCCGTGTCGGGATCCTCGTCAGATTCCTCTTCTAGCAATGACAGCGACGAGCCTTGTGGTAGCTCTTCCCACTCATCCTCTAGCTTTTGCTCCGACTGTGCCCATAGTGGCATTAACACCAACCTTGCTAAGGACGAGACTGTCACCACCAGCGCATTAGGAGAGGTAAAGGAGGAAGGGGAGACGACAGGAGGTGCGGACTACGTGCCCTTCGTGAAGGCAGTAAATCCAGCTGTGTACCGACGCTTCATAGAGCAGAAGTATTTCTCCAACGTCGGCCGAGTACACAAGGAACGCGAGGAGAGGCAAGCTCGACTGGAGGCTGAGATGGCCCTCATGGGACTCAGTGAGGCCTCACGCGCCCACATGCGGAAGATGCTGCAAGCCAAGGAGTCCAACTACATGCGTATGCAACGCGCTCGGATGGATGAGAGCATGTTTATTCGCATAAAACGCCTTGGTAGGCAGTGTTCTCCATCATTTGTCCCACTTCACTGCTAAATGCCTACCGGATTTGTGTGTGGGTGTGTGTGTGGCCACTGTGGAATGACGACAGCTTTTCTAAGGAATGATCAAGGCAATAACATGTGTGACAGTTTCGATATTTAAGTAGTGAGTGGGCTCTTTGTTGCATACATTGATAGTTCTAATAATACAATGGCTCGCATTAGTTTCATTTTTCGATTCTCCTCCAACTGTCGATATCCTCTTCTGACTAACACTTCATCAAAGGGCTGTGAAATGTGGCACTGTCTCAAGGTCAGGACTGTCAGAATTCCCGGAAGGAAGTTTGTGTCTATGTGGGCCGAAATTACAAATTAAACCAGCCTTTCTGGAGCAGAAAAATGAGTTTCATAATGCTCTGTCCTTCCTGTTCTGACCTACGAATGGACTTATTCAAATACACAGTTTCACTTGGTGTCTAAACCACTGCATCCGCTCTCTCCTCCACCGCTTCTGGGTTTGAATTTCAGAGAGCTTGTTGTTGCTTTGCAAAGGTAAACGAAAGTCCTTTCAAGTATAGCTAGTCCCGCCTTGATTATCTAACGGCAACTGGAAGGAGACGAATGCGGCAATGTTGCTACTACTACGAGTTCTTCCAGTTCCTAAAACATTCATTGTGCTGGGTTTTGTTGCAGGTGTTGGGGCCTTCGGGTGGGTGTGGTTAGTACGCAAGAAGGAGAATCGGCAATTGTACGCGATGAAGATTTTAAAGAAGCGCGATGTCGTGCGTCGACGCCAACTGGCCCATGTGCAGGCGGAGCGTGACATTCTGGCCGAGGCTGACAGCGATTGGGTGGTGAAGCTGTTTTTCTCCTTTCAGGACTCCCATGCCCTCTACCTTGTCATGGAGTACATTCCTGGTACGTTAACCTCTCTCAAGTTAACTAACAGCTTCGATAACGCTTAAACAACTTTTTTTGCCTTTTTTGAAGTCCAGACCAACTTTTCACCAGCTAGAATTTGGTGTTTTAGTTGAAATCAAAGGCTTTGTACCACTGTGATAGTGGAGCATCCTTTGTCCCCAAATTGTCATAATTCCGAGCATTTATGTTCCGATCTTTTTACGGTGCTGGAAAATTTGACTTCAATAGTGATTGTTCGTTCGGCCTTGCACTGAGCGCAACGCCTTTGGGGTAGCAGCCGCGGCTGTGAATTGCTCCCTTAGCGATATCTCAGACGTTTTGGCTTGAAGGCTTCCATGGGGAAATGTCTAGGGCACTCCAAAAGCCCAAAGCTTGGGGCAGTAAAATATTGCGTCATACGGTCCTTATGAGAGGCACATAAACCCTCTTCTGGGAAACCCTTGGTATCCAGGGCTTAAAGATGGTCCTCGATGTTCGAACTCGGATTGACTTGTAGGCCTCTAGACCCTGCGGAACAGATGGAGAGAGGTGATGGGGGAAATATGGTGTTTGTAGTCATTTATTTACCAAGGCCACTGTTTTTCCCCAATTTTTAAGTAGTTTGAGTAGAGTTTGAAGGGTTCTGCCAACTTTCTGGTTATGGGAAACAAATTAAATAATTTAGTTGCTTTTGTGGATTAAAATTGTCGCCCATCCACACGTTCATGCTCCTGAAATTTGCGTCCTTAAGGCTTGAATATTCGTTTCTGCTTTGAACAACTTGTCTAAAATCATGTTTTCCCTACCCCTTTACATTTCAAAAGTGATGCGAAGTTTAACTCTAGATTCGAACTGGAGCACATAACAGTACCCGTCTTAAGGGGATGCCACAGAAGCATTGGAGTCATGGAATGTCACACCTGCACCCTGATGGCTTTGGGGCTGGTTAAAGGCTCACGAGACGTTAATACTTCTGCCTGTTTAAGCGTGCCTTTGTGTGGAGGAAAAAAAACAAATCGTACGAATTCCAGAGCCCGCTGAAGGAATGCCTCTGCACTAGTCGCCACGCGCACACACGCACCACTGGAGTGTACACACGGAGATTGGAAATGTCCGTACTTTATTCACACTAGCAAACACATTCCAACTCGCTCTCGCACTCTCGCTCCTTCCATCTCTTGCTGGCGTGATGATAGCACGATGACTGTGTACGGTTGTTGCACACGTTAAGTGCAGCACACACATGCTGATATGATTGGTGCGCTTATGGGCGCGTGCGCATGCGTGTGTGCGTGCGTGTGAACGCGCACGTCTGCATGTGCCACGTTTCTCCAACACTCTCTCAGTTGGCATTCCTCGTGGCCGCCCTCCTGCAGGAAAGCAAATGGGCATACACTGTGTGAATGTGTGCCAGTTCATCGATTGCTTGGGTCTGTTTTGACGTCGCGGAGGCAGAAGCTGGAGCACTGTTCTCTGTCACTATATATTACCTTAGTTTTAATAAGTAGCATTATCATTGATCGTTAGTGGGAGTTATCAAGGGAGGTCTGACCCTGATTTATTGAATCAGTCGAAGAGAAGCCTCAGGGCCGCACGCACGAGTGTGTCGAAGTCTTTGTGTTGGGTCATTTCTGACTCACTTTAAGGCAATTTGAACTGAGTTTGGCGTCACAGAACTTGTATCTCTCTGAAGTTGGTGGTAGCAATGTTAAATACGATGCGTGATGCTCAAATCGTACAGCTCTTTTCGGAGCCTGTGGGAGTTTTGATAATTCCTTTTTACTAAGTTTTAGTAGATGTTTGTAAGCAAATTTGTGGTAAAGATTACATTCAAACCGGGTCATATAACCAAACATGAGGGCATAATAGAAAATTTATAAAGACCTTTAAAATAAGACAGATGGGGGAGATTACTTCGATGCTGCTTTTCGCAAACCAGCTAGTTGTAACAGCTACCAAATCAGTATTCAGAGTGCATATAGTAAAAGGGTTTGCGCCGTTCCATGTTTTCAGCGTCTCATCTATTTGACTGCAAAACCATTTAAAAGTTCTTTCGTGTTGGCCATTGGCCCGACATTGGACAGCACAGAGGTACGCAATCGGGCGTCCAGGGGCGATGATGCGCGTTGGCAATTCCAACTTGGTCAAAGGGTAATTTGGCATCATAAAATATTGAAATGAGAAAGCGCTTGGAAACCATTTATATGAAGTTATTGCTCACCTACGGAAAACAAATTTAAGGGAAATTTCGCTTCCTACAATTTTTAACGGAAATGCGAGTTGAACTGTTAATTGAGGGCTAAAAGGTGTGCGTCCTTTCGTAAATAGTAACTGTAGTGTTCTTGGCAGTCCTTGAGATCAAAAGGCGGCAATATTGGTACGGAATATGTATTCGCGACAAACGAATCGGCTGCAGAGAGCTTGAGTCCCCATGCAGCCAAAATTGAGAGATCATTTTTCACGAGCTGTTCGTCATGCCACAAGTGGATGGCGGAAATATTTATGCCGAGCCGTCTTTTTGAGCAGACAACCAACGAGTAGTTACAATGGTGTACAAGGTCATTTCTTGTTGTTTTTGGACCACGTAGGCGAATTAGAGGACGATGAAGCGATTTCGTCAAGTAGAATGCACTCAAAATTGTGGAGGTTCGGAAATATCTTTCTCGTCGTATTAGTCTGTGGAATTTCGTCTAATACACAGTCGACTTTTTCACAAGGCACTACTGGTTTCAGGTTGGTTCCTGTATTTGGCATTGACAGACTAAAAGAGCCTTAACTATTCCATTTGAACGCTGTCGAATAAGTCAACTCGATCATTGCGTCATGAATTACGTTGAGCTTTTTCCTTAGAGCGACGCCCTCCTCTCCCAATCGGTGAGCAATCACAACTTTGGAGCTAAAATAAAAAATTGAGAACCAACACATTATGGCGTTACGATTTTTCACTTTTAGGTGGAGATATGATGTCTCTGCTGATAAAGAAAGAAATTTTTGAAGAACCTTTGGCACGATTCTACATAGCCGAGTTGACTCTTGCGTTGGAGAGTGTTCATGACTTGGGCTTCATACACCGGTAAGTAGATCCGTGCGTTGTGGGGAAGTGACAAAATATTACCGAATCACGCGTGCAATATTGTTGAGCTCAATTTCATACTGCGTCTTCATTTTCAGAGATATCAAACCAGACAACATACTAATCAATCGCGACGGACACATCAAACTAACAGACTTTGGTTTGTGCACAAGTTTCCGGTGGACGCATAGCAGTAAGTACTGGGATCCGGTATTTGCTATCCCTCAGCCCGGTCAGGAGAAGACTGCTGCCATCTCACCCAACACAGAGGGAGCTGCGGCAGCAGAGACGACAGAGGTAGCAGAGGGCGATGCAGAGGGTGGCGAAGGAGAAGTGGGGGATCAGGTGTGGCCTATGCATGATCAAACTCTTGAGCGACGCATTCGCAGCTCCTCCAACCGACGGTGCGCAAAGTCGCTTGTGGGCACGCCCAACTACATCGCACCGGAGATTCTACGTCGACAAGGTCGGTGGATGATTGTCTTCAATAGGACTTATGCTTCCGAAGGCCCAAAAGTTAAGGATAGTCGGAGTGCTTATTTATGTGAGGCAAAGTGAACTACTCCTCATGATGGAATTCATATAGGCGTGGTTTTTGGCTTGACCGTACCTTTTTGTTTCAGCTCGTCTTTAAGTGCGACAGATTGAAAAGTTGGTGTCAGTGGCACTTTTGCTTTGAGAAATTAACCTGGACGCGTGACCGTTTGGAGTGTAAACTCTTCATTGAATTCACGATCAGCCTATCAAAGTTCCCTAGTATTGTGCTTCGAGCAATGCATAATTCCATGCTCAAAAAGGAATGTGAGTCAAGCGCTTAAGTTAGTGACTCGAAAATGCAGTATCAGCAAGCACAAATCTTATCATTTATGGAGTGTTTAATTTACCATAATTGCAACTAAAACAAACTGTCCAGTAGCTTTAAGGTTGGTGCTAAGATGGGCTGGATGGGCTACAACGAAGAGTCACTTGCATTCTTGGACCATTATAATAAGTATGCATCATTGGAATGAGTTTTCTCTGTCGAATGCCTTCGTTTAGGCTCCTTGCTTTCATTGCATGGCTTCCGATTTAGCTGTCAGAGAATAGAATTCAAGGGATGGCAGCATTAGGAGCAGAGGCATATTTGCTTATTTGTTTTGCGATTAGGTGAGGACCTTTTCGAGATTCACTACTGTGCCCCGTCCCACCTGCGGATTGGCCGCCAGAGTCCAGATCTTCGGTCCTTTTTTGGGCTAGTAATATCAACAGCCTCCACTTTGTTTGCTTTCCTAGGTCACGCTTATGAGTAAATGCTTTACAGACCAGTGGCGTGTGAACCTAGTGATGAAAAACTGCGGCAATTGCACACTGATGTGGTGTAAGTGAGTATTTAATTGGACGCCACAATGAGAAACGTTGTAGGTGAGTAGAACATAGCCATTTCCTGCTTTAAAGCATGAGATGTGCTGCGAATCAGGTGCCGCGCCTTAGTTAGTAGAAGGTAAACCTCAAGGATTGACCACACAAACTTCATTTGTAACTTGTGTCCATGCTTAGGTTACTATAAACGGAAGACACTGGCTGTTTCTTTTTCACCTCATGTGCTTCATAAAACAGTTAAGGTGGAAATGCAAATACATAACTGCGTTGGAGTGAAGGTAGGCCTGAAGTCATCTTTGTTGAATGTCGCACGATTGTGAGAGCGTACGTGTAGGACATTTTTTTTCTTGCCATCATGGGCTGTCGCACCCTCTAATTTGCATCAATTCTGCGGGGGCGAATGCGAATCGTCAATATTCAACCTAAATGTCATGGCCGTCTGGGGACAGACTAATCAGGGTGGGTGGATGGTCGTGTTAGACACTGTTTCACCTGCCAACATTGTCACTTGGCAATTGGATGCACATAGTCCCTGAGATTGATGTAGAAAATGGTGAATTTTCCCTTATAGAGTACAACCGTGCCTGCGACTGGTGGTCGGTAGGAGTAATCCTTTATGAAATGCTAGTTGGTCGACCGCCATTTGTAGCTCAGACAGCGTTAGATACCCAGCTGCGAGTAATTCAGTGGCAGCGCCACCTACGGATCCCGGGCGAGCCGAGGTTGGCCTCTGATGCGGCTGATCTCATCCGCAAACTTCTTTGCGATCCAGAGGACCGCTTGGCCGATCCACGTCTCATGAAACAGCACGCTTTCTTCGGTTCCGTTGATTGGGACAAGCTGCCCACTCAAACACCTCCCTACGTTCCAACTGTAAGTGATGTGTTGTTTAGTTTGTTATTACTTTTCACTCCTTCACAGTTGACTGATTGATAATGAATAGTTGGAGGGTACGAAGGAGCGGCGCAGGAAGTCTTAATTGTCTCAAATTTGTTTACGGAATTCCACATACCTGATTACAAAAGCAAAATTAGATTACTTTGCAGTACCTTATTTATGACCCATTAATGCGTTCATCCTCTCGCCAGATTTTATCTGGAAAGTGTAGAACCTTCCCAGTCTTTTAGACTTACCACAAAGAGCCTTCATTGGAAGTACCACTTATGGGTTTCCAATGGACAAAATATGCTATGCATTGGCAGATCCTAAACGAACTGGATACCTCCAACTTCGATGCAGTGGATGAAGAGGCCGGTGGAGATGATCAGGCGAGTTCCCAAAGCAGTTGCGGTGGAACTGGGGGCGGAGGAGGTACATTTGGGCTAACTAGTGCGCCGCATGCCTTCCCTGACTTCACCTTCAAACGCTTTTTCGATCAGGACAACAATCCCACCGCCTCAGAACGTACTGCCATTGGCTCCACAGAGGCATGGCATCAGACCAGCGCTTTGCTTGTGCCTTCCTCCTCCTATCAGTGAATTGTCAAACAATGCTGATCCTTTTCATATTTCCTGTACAGACCCAACTCGACCTGATCTACTACTCATGCATTTATAGTGACTTAATCTTCTCATCCTACTTCATGTTCTGTCATATGCATTCACATACTCCCAAACAAACATGCGCACGCACTTATCTGTACAGTCTGCCCAATCCACTGTTCCAAGTAGACCTACAGCGCCGCTTTTCGTTTCATTTAGTGTTGTGGGTGGAGTGTTTGCAAGTCATTATGAGAACATAAACCCGATGTGAAAGTAAACATTAAACATTACCCAAATCGGCATTATTCCTCAAAGGCAGCATCCGTAGTGACCTATCCAAAATCTCCAACAGACAATGTATTCGAGATTTTGGAAAGCTAATTGTCAACGTTCATGGCACAACTTTGCTTTTCAGCCGAAAGAACACATTGGAGAGGTTGTTAATGACATGTTTTGTCGACCTCTACCTCCTTCAAAATAAGTTCAAGCAGCTGTGACAAGTAAGTTTCCGTCAGATACGTTAGCTCGATTATGGCTTTTTGTTAAATCGAGGAGATTCTCAAAATGAAGAAGAGTTAATTGCAACGACTAATTCAATGACAAGCATACTTCAGCCCCCTAAAGAGAGAGTTTATACTCGGCCAATAACTTGTGCTGCCAGGTGAATGTGGAATAGCACACAATTCTGTGATAACTAGTGCCATGTGGTCAGATATCCAAGATACCTTTAAATACCTTGCCATTAGGAAATTATGCCGCGCATAAACATTTCAAAGCGCAACTCCATTCAGTCTACCGTTTTGCGCAGAAACCCTCATAACCGAGGCACGAATTTGCAGACCAAATCGCTAAACTCGATGGGTTAGCTAGAATCCATCTTCCATTGAATTGAGTAATGCAAATAGTGTGTCGACTTCTTAACCCACTACACCATACATTTGACAGGAAGAAGATCACGCATTTCAGGACAGCTTTGCATAATGCAATGGCGTGCACTTGAGTACAGCCCAGTATTTGGTGATTTGAGGGTTTACAAGCAAAGAATTGTACAGCAATCAGCTAAAAACACTAAAATTGAATCCATTTTTCACAATTTTTGCAGAGCTCCTAAAGGCTACACTGAGTATTTTGGTTTGAGGAACACTCGTCACTCACTTTCTACTGAATTTTTGTCAGCAGACGCAGTATGGAAGAGAGGCCAAGTGAAGAGGTTATTGTCAACTCCCGCCGTGTAAAGTTCCAGCCGTTTCCAGTTCCAAGCGCAAGCTTCCATCTACAAGGCGAAAGCATTCAACTTCGTGAGATGACATATAATCAACGCTATCATTGAATGAAAGAGCTAAAATTAATTAGTAGTGTTTGGAAAGATAGAGGCATTGAAAAGGAAACAAAAGAGAGCGCTTAAAGGCCAGAAAAGAATGCATTTCTCGACTCCTTGTAAACAAGGGAACGCAAGTCCACACGATAGTCTGAAGTTAAAACTCGCTTGTCAAACTACGTTGATACGTTTGTCCAAATAAAGAATTACCGAAACAGAAAAAAAAGTAGATATAAGTACGTAGGAATGGATTATGAATAGGACCTGGAGTATACAAAAGCTTAAGAGTTCAAAATCTCCACCATCTGCCTCCCATGCAATCAGAGAAAGAGCATGCTCATGGTAGGCGACGTCCTGGAACAAAATAGAATCAACAACGGTGTCTTACACAAGTTTTCGGTTTTTCAAGGAGCAGGTGCAATGCTGATCTCTGCTAACTACTAGACTTATTAGCACCATAACGTCTTATAACATGAAATGTGTTACAGTACCTTGGAAAAATGCCGTTTGATGGTCCGTTGGGAGAATAAATCTGAGCTGAGATCACTTGAGCGACAGCCAATAGAAATTACGAGAAGAGCACAATCGACGGGGACAAAGACGAGCGCGCCCTCTGCACCCCAGGCGTGAAAACGGGGGCCGATATCACCGCCAGTTACTGCGAGACGGACGCAGCGCGATGCACCAGAACCTCTAAAGCCGGCTTTAATAGCACCAGCTAAGGCGGGAATAGAGATACGTGGCTGTGCATCAACTCTAGCGCACGGCGCCCCTCCGTCCACCTCCACGCCCCACACACGCAGGCATGAGTCGCCTCGATCTTTCGCCCCACCCCACGAGTAGAGGTGAAGGCCATCGGGACTATTAATCATCCCCTTCACTCCGCCTTTGTGTGCTATAGCTGAACAAGTACGTTTTAAGCGTTCAATTCTTGCATTCTAACGACTCAGTATCAAGGATACAATGAAATACGTTTCTTGAGATTTTGCGGCAGTAAAAATCAAATACCGTACTATTGCAGTTAATAACATTGACCGAATGAGAATTTTACGCTCAGCAGAAATAATGTGTACACGCAGAACAATTACGTACCATCATGCGAATACAGCGGTTCTTCATTCTTGTAGTTATTGTTCAACGTAGCAACAGGCCTCAGAGGTACACGGATATCCCAAAAGACAATTCTTCCGTCTTCTCTGAATCAACAAAAGAAGAGTGGTGTTTTTTTTAAGCAGAAGTTATGTTGTTACGTTAGTTAAGGAGTATATGTTGCAAATGGAAGCTCCAAATACCAGAACAACAAGTAAAAAAATGACAAGAGCAGGTTAGTCAAGCGAAGTTTAGGGCTGCGCAGAAAAGAGAGAAATTGACAGACCCAGCGGTGAAGAGGACGAAGGAGTTGCGAGCCGACCAAAGAACCTGAGTGATGAGGGGGGCCGTGTGGGTGCCCAAGAGGCTGAGACAAGGTGCGCCGATGTGGGGATCGATGCAAACGACGTGGCGATCGTAGCGCTTCCATAATGACACCGCAATGAGATTGTGCTCTCTTGCGCACGGCGACAGCGCCGCCCAAGTCATCGGCTCCGGTGTCGCGATTATATCCACGCACTAACACAAACATGCATCAGGAAGGTGATACGGAGTGAATTTGGCCGCCAATAGACTTTTAGAATTCAAAGTAGCCAAACAATGCCAACCTATGAAGTTATCCATCCTGCGCACTAGAAGAGCGTATAGCAATAAACCTTATCTCGTCCGTCGTCCAAGCTGATGACTGAAGTCGACCACAATGCCAATTTAGTCAGGTTTAAGAGCCGATCTCATGCCTTGAAGCAAGAATTTGTGATGCATACACAAGAATGCATTCAATGGCTTTGAAGACAGCAGTGTCGAGACTAACGCCAGTAGAGCATTGTCAACCCGCTTTGAAAAGTGTAGTGTAGCAGTATGAGGAGCGCCATTTAACGATTCAATTTGGTCGGATTCAAACATCTGCTGACATTTAGGTACCTTCCAATAATTTAATCTGAGAATCAAAATGAGTAAAGTATGGATGGACACATTCGATTCTTTAAACTTCCATAGGGAAATTTTCCCCCCACCTAAATATGCGTAAATGTTCACAAGTTCGGTCACGTAATCGCCCAATCTGACTCAGACGTGAAAGCAAGCTCACCTCAACCCTGTTGGTGTCCCAAATCTTGAGTGTTTTATCAACGGAGACACTAAAGAAACAGCCTGTGTCCACATTATTCCACTGGAGACACAGAGACTGACTCAACCTACAATCGTCAGCGCTAGAGGGATTGCATTGTGTAGAGAGGAGGGTTGACGGCACGGAAGTAAGGTGAGCGAGGTGGGGAAACACCAATGTGGAACTGTCGTTGCTAGTTTTGGCAGGGGTCTGTGTGTCGTAGAGTAGCAGACTGCCATCGTGGTTGGCCGAAAGAAGGCTGTTGAAAGGTGAGAAAAGTCTGTTATGAGAATCATTTCACCTACATTTCACTAAGTCAAAGGCGATAGTAAAACCCACTAACTTTTGCTGACACTTTAAAAGCGTGATTGCTAAATTTCGCTAACTTTAAAACATGCATCTGGATCATCTTGAAATTTGGTAATAGGGAGATTCAATGGTATAACGGATGCCGCTCAATTCAACCCGATAAATAACGTACTAGCGAGATTCGACTGGGTCTAACGCGATATCTGTCGTTGGTCCACGACAACTCTCATCGAACTTGGTTGAGTAGTCGACATCGAAACGACTGAGATCGAGAAGATTCTCCAAGCACTCTCGATAGGCCAGTGAACGCGACTTGAGACCGTACTCGAAATCCAACTGCGATGAGCAAATAAACTTAGCCTCTTTATTGCTTTTTTGTGGTGAAAAACAACAAGCCATTTGAATCGAAAGTGTTTAATGCCAAAAGAAGAAACCAAGAGGTAAAGTACAAAACGTGGAAGGCAAAAGAAAGTGCAAGGTAATGTAAAATATCACTTCGAAGAAGCGTTTCCACCACGGGAGGTTTCACAGATAGCGTCAACGATCTAAAAGTGAAAAAAAGGAGCTGTACCAGGTGGTACCGAAAAACTACCCAAAGACAAGAGTGGAGGCTTACGCTGTCGTCCATCAATTGTGGCTCGACGCAGCGCTGCATGACACTGTACATGACGTCGTCAAGCACATTCTGCACCTGTCTAAAAGTCCATAAAAAAATCATTCTAACCCTTACTTCAAAAAATCGTACTCAAATGTGAAGTTTTGAGAAAGGAGTATTCGGCAATTTACTTATCGTCATTGACAAATCGCCAGAGGTGAATGTGCAAGTAGTGACAGTCAACTTGCATCTGCTGAAGGCCAAACTTCCCAAATGTTCGAGTTCGTGCGCACTCGCTGAAGGCCTGATAATTCAACAATTAGAGGCCAACGGATATCAAGCGGTGGAAACACGAGGAGTTGTTTGCCATAGGAAAGAGGTCTCGTAAATTGACATGGGATACATTCAGGCAAAAAACTAGTCACAAAATTCAAATATTGGAGAATGAGTTCCAATTTCCAACCTAAATGCGAGGTCGCATAAAAGTGAAAGCTGATGGAACCGTCTTTTATATCTAATTGAAACAACAGCAAAAGCTTTTCAGTGGGACAGCTTACTTTAAGGCCAATCTTAACCACTCCAAAGAGGATGGACTCGCGTGTCGGTTTGACGGGGGCAAACACATTCACGCGTTGATGAAAGAGACGACGAAGTTGACTAGCCAACGCCGGGTCATACTCCGGCGAGGTGACAGCACCATGTTGCTGTGAAGAGCCCATGGCACCAACAGTAGTAGTGGAAAGCGCTACCAGACCTCCTACGGTCTGTCCACGAAGATGCGACATCGAGGAGCGCCAGGAGTACCGACCATCAACTGACCCTCGTCCACCCTCCTTTCCACCCCGACAACGTCCGGCCGTCGAAGGTGGAAGCAATTGACTCACCTTTTATCCATAAAATCTTATTTTCAGTAGCATAAATGAAAAAAAAGGGGCGGAAAGAAACGCGCACCTGAAAGTCGATATTATCGAGGTCTTCGAGTATGCGTCTAATCACGGAGCGGACAGTGCGGGGTTCGAGACATCGCAGCCAATCACGGGCCTCGACAGACTTACGCATCATGTGGGCCAACTGGGCACCCTCGAACTTGGCGAAGGTGGTGAGAAGACGCGTAGCAGTTGCGCGAAACTCCTCCGCCAGTGGACCTGGCGAAGTCGGAGGTTGTTGCCGCGTAGCCAGTATATGTTGAATGGCCTGCTGATGGGACTGAACTGAGGCCGAGGCTATAATGAAACAGTGGAGGGGAGAGTGGATTAAGAGTAAAGTGCCAATGGTCGAAATGCAATTTTCATTAAACTCAACGGTACTTATGGTAATCTTGCGAAATTGTGTGCACTTCATAAAAATGTGGAGACTATACTATACAATAAACAACTATACTTCATGCCATTCAAGGAATTTGAGTCGTCAAAATGCGCAAATCAGAAACATTCCTCCATGACGCTTTCAAGGCTAAACAGATGACCGGAAAGTGCGGATTGTGGTACAGACGTGAGGACAAAGTTCACAATACTGGCTTACATTTTGGGAGACCAATGAGAAGAAAGTCATCGGCCATACTTAATAAATGGCCGATGGTTCCGGAATTAGCCCAGTCGAGGCACAATTTTCCCATCAGTAAGATTATGCTTCCAGGAATGCTGGAGGGCGTGTACTGTACAAAAGGTATCATGAAATATCAACGCCACGAGGTGCAAATATTGTAATTCAAGAATGGAAAAAGATCTAATCGACTTATGTACTAAATGACCAATCAAACCTTTGAAAGCTCCTCGCAGAAATGGATGAGGAAACGAAGGTAGGCGGCAACAATACCTTCTCGGATGTAGTCCAAACAGAAGGTGGCACGGAAAAGTTGAAGATGAGAAAAGGTATTATCACCTGATAAGAAGGGCTGCGAAAGGAAAAGTTCAGTGTAGTAAAAATGAACAGAAGAGTACAGAGGTTGTCGAAGCAATAACGCAGATCTACCTCCAAGGTCTTGAGACAATCACGAAGGTTGGTTGCCAAAATTCGGCTCATTTCATTGTAGATCTGAGTAAGAGTCTTCTTATCGCCCTCATTTTCACTACAATTAAATTTCGAAGAGACCGTGAACCAAATGTCTGAAAATTTGATTTATTAATGTGTAACAAAAGTTCACAAAGGCCAAGATGAGGGGTGATGGAAGAAACTTACCAATTATTCCTTTCGCAGCGATAACAGAAAACCCTTGCCTACTTCAGAATAACAATTTCAGAAGGATATTAAGCTGTTAACCTTACATGAGGGAGAGCACATCATCCAGCTGATAGACCTCATCTAAGCTGTCCCAGGAAAAATTAACTCAACCACATTAAGTGGTGGACAGAACTCTAAACAGCAAGATAAATAAAAACTCTGGGGAGAGACTGATAACCTTATTGGAAATTTTGAGCAAGGAATAAAGTAATAAACTTAACAATGAAGAGATTACTAAAGATAACGCCAATTTTACGCACCGATTGGATTTGAATTTGACTTTTCACGTGTCTACGCACCATAAACATCGCTGCAATTCATGTTGACTAAAACGCAGACTCCCAAAATTCAACACACAGTCCTCATTACCACCCCTTTCAAATGCAATTACAAGCCTACTGTAATGAGAGTTCTCAAACAAACCTGTTTGTTTGCTTCGAACAGACGTTAGTGACGAGATACTGCCTGATGTCAGTCAGGCAATCTGCAGTCTGTGTCTTAAGACAGGCAAACTGTTTCTCACGGCAGCATCTCGCGGCCACAGCCAGCACCATGTTGAGGGAGGCCTCATCAAGACTTCGCTTGAAATTGCTAGCTGCTAGGGAGGAAGACTCGTTCGGTGGAACGACAACTTCTAGGACGCTGCGACCGAAATCTACCAGCCGAGCGAATAGGCGCTCCAAAGCTCTCACCAGCAGACCTATTTCGGTTGACTGAACCTTAACAAGCCAATCATGGATAAATATCCCAGGATGATCTCAATATTTGCTATTACAACTATGAATGTTACTCAGTGCTAGTACATTCACCAATCTCTACCAATATAAAACCCATCTACTCTCAAATTTATGGGGGAAATTAAGGTTAAAACCTTCAAGGAGCGCAAATGCAAGAATGCATCAATAAGCAAATAAAGCAAGTCAAGCAGAGAGCACATAGCTAAACATCAAACCTACCTCACTTTGCAACTTCTTGTCAATCAAGGCAAGGAACGTCCGAGTCACCCTTTGCAAAAACTCGAAGAGGCAAGTCTCAAGGGTATCCTTGAACTCACTGTCCCTAGAGAGGAAAGGAAAGGAAATAAGACTGTAGCATCACTCCTAAAGATCCTTATTTTAGGGAGCGAACCTAGCTTTGCCAGACTAAACACGGTGAGAGTGAAACACCAAGTTAGATTACCAAACAATTTGAGGAAGGAACTGTACTTATTATGCCACTGACTGAGCGGACTAACAAACCTACTAACATCGGTCTTGTTCAGCAAAATGTGATAATGCTTCAAAAGGAGTAGGAATAAAAAGGGGGAAAAGAACCAAAAGCACCTACCACTATTACTATGCAAATTTTATGAATGACCGTGTACTCAATTATGTACGCACGTAAATTCAACTAACCTCGATGACAGAGCTGCACTACTAAGAAAGCGACTGGAGAATGCAAAGACATATGGCAGCGTTCCCTCAGAAATGGCATCCGCCATTGCATTTGCGAAATTCAAAAGGTCCTACAGGGAGGAAGTGGTTCGAACTCGAATCAGCTCATTTGCACTGAATATGAGAAATTGTGGGGAAAAATTGTTGGACCAGTTTATATACATCTCAGAGAGACCAGACATTCATTTCCAAATTTCGGTTGTTTGTACTGAGAACAGGGCAATAATTATAAATCCCATGATTAAAAAAGGCACATGCGACCACCTTACAGGCACGGATGACTCCACACTTTCCAAATCATGAGAGGAGACCAACTTCTCAAACAGCGAGTCGATGTGCTGCGAAGCTCTACAGCAAGGGAGACATCAACGACAATTATCGACCACTTACATCTGAATAAACTTTTTCGATAGTTCCGACACAGGTTTTCCAAGTTGTACCAAAACCTCAATTGATGTGGATAAGGTCTGTGAATCCTCCTAAATGAAAGAAAAGCTATGCGAGAGAAGGAGCTCGTCACAAGTCTAAGGGAGTCGAATATCAACCGACCATGTCCATCTCCATATCAAAAAAATTGCAAGATACCAATTCAGCCACACAACTCTGGCGAAACAAGAATACCTATGGTATTAAATTGTAGAAAAAGGCTGTGGTTTTGTGCACTGACTCGTAACTAAAAAGCGCATACAAGCAAAGTGTGCTTCACACTTGTAAATGTGAAATGAAAAAAGAGTGGTGTAACGGATCTCAAACACGAAATTAGAACCAAAGTACCGCCGAAAGAAGACGAGCTTCCACTTCTTCGACAAGCTCACCGATTAACTCGGTGCATTCTTTGTCAATTCCTTGAAAGGATGGAATGTTACGATGCTTCTCGAAAAATCCACTTGCTTTGGTGTAAGCGTCGACTGCTTTGGCCCACTCCTCCTTTTTCATGAACTCTCTAATCTTCGACGGCAACGTAGACAGGTATCCAAGCTAAAGACGGATATAGCAACTTCAAGTAAACATTATTGCCAACCCTTCGAAGGCTGTCAGCAGTTGTCACCAATTTTCTGATGGCTGATTTGGACTCGCGAATTTCATGATCAATTTCATTAGAATAGAGTTGAATTTCCACCATACTTTCAGTAAGAGAGTTCATTTCATCCTCAATGAATTTAAAATCTGACTTCATCTGACCAAGAGGAACTTGCTCAAGAAAATCAAACAATACCTACCATTTTGATTGTATGTGTGGCGTTTATGAACTTATTGTAATTGTCATATACGAGAGTTTGCATTTCGGCGTCAAGTGAGCGAATTTGTTCACAAATCTCTGTCTCCTTGGCCAGCAAATCATTCAAGTCGCAATTTTGGAGAAGATCATTTAAATATTCCTTCGGATCAAAGCCGACAGAATCAATATCCTTTGGGTCCAGAATAATTTTAGACACATCATCAGGCTTTGATCTTGGGCCATAGAACTCCAACAAACGCTTCTTTCGCTGCAATCGATCTTCTGCGTTTGTCTGCATCTGAAACAACAAGATTCCAGCAGCCTTATCCAGTTAAATGAATATAACGACTTCGTATCTAAAGCAACATGTCCTTCTTAAGAAGAAATAGGAACAGATTGCGTAATAAGGCCAACATGGACGTCAAAAAAATCAAGGAAATTCCCATTATACAAAAATAAAGACGTAAGGTTAGCACTTCAAATACTTGCAAAACCCTCCAACAACGAGTAGCCCTTATTGGGTAGTAGTTATTGCTGGGGCTAGTAAAGGTAGCACACTTAGTAAAGATATCCGGAATATATAACACCATAATTTTTCTTTATCAGTTTTAATTGTATAAAGCGGTGCTTACATATACGCATGAATTATAGGCACTATTGTTGCTATGCTCTGTATTCACCATATATAGTTAAATTAAATTTTCGCCTTTGTTTTGTGCACTTGCGATGTTTAATCGTATTAAATTTATTGACATCATTTTATGTAGTAATTTGTCTACTAGGTGCAAGTGTATTCATTGGTGCGGAGGTACTGCAAGGCGGAGAAAATGCGCGCTTCTTAAAGGTCGTGTTTGTAAATTGTTAAGGTGAAGTGTGATGGTGGAAGCAGATCCGCTTCTTCTCAATGATTCTGTATGTAAAACTTTTTCCTCGAAGTGTCGGCGTCTGTTTCACTTAGGCCCCATATTTGGATTGGGTCTCGTGATTTTTCTTACTCTTGCTAGCTTATCTGTAATCATATCAAATTTTCTACCGTCTCGGAGGATTTTCGGCTCATTTAACGCAATTTTCTGCGTGCTTTTATCAACCTACATTTTGCAAAGCTATACTTTGGCTGCCTGGCTTGGTCCAGGCTTTGTAAAACTCGGGTGGCAACCGGTTAGTAATTGCACAACGAAGTTTCTGCCTTTACAGCTGCTTTCATAAAACATTTGCTTCCTCTTTTAGAACAATCCCAAAGATAAAGCTTTTCTACAATTTTGTTCAGCATGTGGTGGATTTAAACCTCCCCGTTCTCATCATTGTCACACCTGTGGGAGATGTGTTCTTAAAATGGATCACCATTGCCCTTGGATTAATAGCTGTGTTGGCCATCTAAATCATGGCCACTTTATCCATTTTGTTCTATCAGCACCCATCGGATGTTTGTACTGTTGCATCCTGTGCTCTTATCGTGTATATTTTGTCCTTACGAGGGTACGTTCTTCCTCTCCAGCTTCGGAACCTGAGAATTATTTTTTCATCACAATTGCTTCGCTTATTTTCTCTTTAGTCGTATGCTTTATACCGATTTGGCTATGATTATCGAATACTGTTTAACTTTTACGAAGTCGCTGTTTTGCTCATTGCTTTCGGTCTGGCATTTGGGGTTATCTTGGCTGTTGGAGGACTTGGTTATTGCCAGATAAAAGGAATTCTCCGGAATAGGACTGTGATTGAAGAGTGGATAATGACGAAGGTATGTTTATTCTGCTTTGTATTTTGTGAAATGGGCGGGAATCATCAATGCGCGAAATTCATTTTTAAGGCTTCCGATCGAAGAGATAATGAATCGAATCCTAAGCCGATGGTTTACCCCTATGATTTGGGTTGGAAGCTTAATCTTTTGCAGGTTCGTTTATTGGTCTTGTAAAATTTTTTCCGGTTTGCTCGCACTCTACTACTTTTAATCTACTTTTATTTTTATCCAATATGCTAGGTGTACAGCAAACGCTCTTATGCTCCTCTTTTCGGTTATCTTTAAGGTACTGAGTTGGGGTGGGAACCCGGTTGGTGACGGATATGTGTGGCCTTTGAAGCCAGGATGTGGAACTTACGATCTTACTGTGAGTTCATTTAACCATGCATTGAACTGTACTAATTGGCTATAGTTCGGTTACATGACTCGATAGTGCATTTTTTTATCAACATCTGCATTCAAGTCCTTTCGCTTTTATTCATCCATTTTTTTGGAAAAGCCTTCACTTTGACTCTAAAATCTTTCATGGGTTATAGGTGGGGTTTAATGTTCTTGTTTGTTTATTTTTGGCAGATAGAACAGCTTAAACAGAAAAACCTAAAGAACAAGTCAGCCATCCCCTTCCGAATCGAACGCGCCTACTCTGGTAGCAATCTGCCCACATCGTTTGGGTGCCGCACCTATTGTTGCCCACCATGCAGTGGTGAGAATCGTATGGCCGTTGCCGTCGGAGACACCGTCCTCGTCACTCGAGGGCATAAGTGAGTCCTCCTCTCTCTCCTTCCACCCTTTGGGCAACTCTTCCTTATGGTATCTTACTTACTTCAGAGGATGGTATTATGGCCAACTGGTTTCTTCGACAGAGTCGGGCGATGGGCACACCTCTAAGAGTAAGTCATTCCTCCCTCATCTTTGCCTCCTTGAGTCTGAGCCTTTTGTATCTGCGGTTTTCACAAAATTTTACAGTATTTCGGTATTTCTATCATTTGAAAACGTGGTCGTTTAGTTTAATTCATTATTTTTTTGTTCGAATAACGCCTGCCTAAGTCCTAGTCTCATAAATTGTTCATTCTACTCATATTTGTTAGTACAGCTTAATGTTGGCGAATTTTAGTTCCAGTTAAAGGGTGGTTCCCCAAAGCCTGTGTATCGGTCGTGGCAAACCACAACACAGGAAAACCAAAACAAAGTTGAGGGTTGGTCGAACAACCATTTTGAACCCTGGCCTTTCAAATGACCACTTCTTGTCCATAAAGAGCTTAAATACTTTGCTCTTGTCTTTTTATGCATCTTTACATTTTTGATGAAATAGACTTGTCTGATGGCGAATGCTTTTTTGACTCTGACAAGTTAATGAAGTCGCTTACTTCATTGTATGCGATAGTTGCGAAGGTTCGAAATACTTGGAACCAATTACACTCCCATCATATTGACGTTTTTCACTCAATTATTTGCAATATTCACTTAGGAATCTTACTTTGAAACTCTTAAGACTAAAATCTCTTTACATCCATTAGTCGTGAATTCCGCTAGGACATTTAGCATTTGGGGATGACTCACGGTCTTGATGAGGTTGTGGAGTGTTCGTTTTGAGGTCTCGAAGATGCTGGGTTGGCTGGGAAGCCACAATATGTTCAGAACAATGGATATCGGACTGCCCTCAGACTTCGTGCTTCTGCAGAGTGGACGTGCGCTCGCACTCCATTGGGCATTGGCTCTACTCAGCCACGTGAGTCACAGCCAATCAGAGTGCAAACAAGACACTTGGCGGGTTATTTAAAAAGCGGATCGCCCCCAACATCATCAACTCAGTGTCAATGCTTCTGTCATTCATCATCCTCACCGTTTCGACATTCGCCTTCTGCATTGCAGCCTCCACCTCTGCAAAGTCGGTGCACTATGTGGTGCAGGAGGAGTGTGGGCCCGGGACGTACATCGGGAACCCCATTCGGGATGCCAATATCCAAAATGGAAATAAGCAACCCCTCTTCATCAAGCTGATGTACGGTAAAAAAGAGGATTTTGCATTGAACGAAACTACAGGAGATTTGCGTACCACTCGGCATCTGGATCGAGAAGCTCTGTGTGGTCGTGGCGTGCGACCACAAAGAGAGTTTAATCCATTGCCTTCACAACGATTAGACAACATCAAAACTGCCAAGGACATTAGGTACGCCAATGTGGCCATTTCCATCGCCGCGTCATCACAGAAGTGTCAAGTAGAGTTGAGTATGGTGGTGCACAGTGGAGACAAGCTCTTTGAGACCTGGATCAACGTTCACATTATTGTGCAAGACTTGAATGACAACCGGCCCTACTTTGAAGAAGAGTCCTGGAACCTTACATTGAGTGAACTAACCTCTGTTGGTGCCACGTTCCAACTTCCGCAGGCTGTAGATTTAGATGAAGCAGAACGTTCCGTCTTGCGCTACGGTTTGGTCGACGAGAGCTCGCCCTCCTGTCGAAATCACTTTTCTATCACATGCCAGTCTGAGATAGTCTCCTGTGATCTTCATCTGGTTCTTGAGAAACCTGTAGACTTTGAATTGTGCCAGCACCATCATCTGATCCTTTTTGCAGAGGACTCTGGCTCTACAGAGGCCATTTTGCCTATTCGCGTCAATGTAAAAAATGAAAACGAGTACCAACCTCGTTTCATACAATCCACAACCCAATTAAGCATCCCCCGAGATAGCCAGTTTAGAATTCCAATAACCAAATTTCATGCAGTGGATAAAGACGCAGGGAAGGATGGTGAAATCATTTTCTTAACGAACTCAACCTACTTTGAGGTGACTGATGGGAAGTTAATGCTTACGAAAAGTCTGCTGCACTACCCAGAGAAGAGAATGAAAGTTTTTGTGACTGCCACCGATGCGGGAAATCCACCACTTCAGTCAACCCTAGAGTTGACTATCGAAATAACCGGTGAGGAGACGGAAGCACAACCTGGTAAGATTTTCGTCAAACCGCTTGGAGGGGAAACTATTAGTGGCTCCGATGCACCCATCATGCTTCCCAATTCTGCAGAGAGGGACACACTAGTTGCTTTAGTCTGGACTGAAGGTGGCACCCCTAAAGTTTCATGCTCCTTGCATCCCGTTCTTTCTCACTTTTCCCTTGAAAATGCCGGTCTCCTTATGGGCAAACCCACGTTTACCCTGAAAGTTAGCAGGCCATACAACTTTTCACAAAAATTCGACATCATGCGAAACCGTGTTGAGGCCCAGGATGTTCGTGTCATTTGTGGTAGCAGTCAATTAAGTCTTCGTGTCCGTTTAGCACCTCCACCGGGACAACAATTTCGATTTGCCCAGAAGGAGATTCACTTGTCTATTGAAGAATCCTCTAGTCCAATTATCGGTTTCTATACTCTCAAACCCCTGAATGGAGTCGGTGAGGTACATTTTGGGAAGGATCGCAACTCCCTTGAATGCGCACGGGTACACGTGAACTCGAAAACAGGAGTCTTATCAATTCCCCACGGGATTGATCGCGAAGTCACGCCGGAATTGCGTTGTCGTTTCTCCGCCTTCGATAGTGACCAACCTCCGAATCGGATTCGAGTTGATATAGTGATAGTCGTGAAGGATATCAACGACTGCGCACCATCCTTATCCCGCTTGCACTACTCTTTACCGGAATATGATGGCTTAGTTGAAACTGCTGGCCTTCCTGCTTGGGTGTCACTTCTCAAACTTGATGCTCTTGATCCTGATGCAGGATTGAATGGATCTGTTCATTTTGAGCTGAGAAGTGTGAAAACCCTCGGCAACGGCTCTAACAACGATCGTATTCCCGAATTTCGTTTATCCACCGAGTCTGGTGAAGTTTCTATTAAAGGGAAAGATTATCCCCTTTTGGATAGGGAGGAAATCTCAGAAATAATGCTATTTGTATACCTTTATGATTTGGGCAGTCCCTTCCGACTCTCGGCTACATATGAGGTCAAGCTTACTTTGGAGGACGTTAACGACAACACTCCGATGTTCTTTGATGTTGAGGGCGAGGCGCTCCTTCGAAACATGCCCTGGTATCGCTCAACAGATCCTCCACCTGGATTTTGGACTCAAATTCGCATCTACGATCCCGATCTGGGAGAAAATGGAACTACCTCGCTGTCGGTACTTGAAAAACCACCTGAGGACTCCACAGATCCCACTTTACGTCCACATCAAGTGACCCTCTTCAAGGATGGCCGCTTATGGGTAGCAGAGGAGTTGACAAAGGGCATAGCTTTTCAAGTGGTCTATCTCCGTGCGGTTGACAAAGGCTCCCACCGCCAGCTTCACAGCGAGGCCAAACTTGTAGTTGATCCCGAGAGTGATCAGCATGGTCGTAACCAGTTAAAACGTCCAATGTTTGTGCATAGCAACAGCTACAGTGCAGGACGTTTCATGCAAAAGTTGGTGCGTCTCAAAAGCACTTCCCCGTCCTCCCTTGATGCTATGACCAAGGCTCACATCATCCTCCTCATTGTCGGTGTCAGTCTGATCTGTTGCATTCTGGCGAGCACCTGCGTTGCTTGTGTGGTCCTACGAAAGTGAAAAACTTTGGCCCCTCGCCCTCGCCCTCGTTCAATCTGCCTCTCTACACCATTGGTACCTGTATTTTTCCACGTGTATATTGTATTTTATGGCCAAATTTATTTCGTGTTTGGAGATATGCAGTTAGATTTTCCCAGCATCATGATCCAACTTGCTTGATGTAGGAGGTCAGCGGTGTCTCAGGCTGGACTGTAAGAAGTTTTTTGCATTCTTGAATATTGTGGAAAAAAAAATGCTCAGCGTAGAAGTCTAGCCTTCTATCCACGATCTTCGAATGGATGAGGAGAAGATAAAATTTGATTTGTGGTTACTGTTAAAAGTTTTATGGATGCCAAGTAGAGCGATGAATTGAGAAGATGATTAGGCCTACACTTAACATTGATCATTGTTGTATATCTCGTACGCTCTGTCATACTTCAAAGTGGTTATGTGCGTTCAGAAGCTGCCTATCGAGGAAGGATGGTTTCAGTTTTGTGCGTGGGTGTGGTGTTGGATGCTGAGGAAAGCATTTGAGTCATTATTTGTAGTGAGTCACCTCCACGTGAACGTTTCGACCTCAACGGACCAGCCAAGAGTCCACTTCCGTTGTAGCCCCAAAGGAGGGATGACAATTTGCTAACCTGTGCTGGACTTGTATTATCCTCATCCAGTTTAATGTGCAGGACAAACTGGTTCAGTGCTGACGATGAGAGGAACTTCATTGTTTCCAGCGTTCCGTCTGTTCGGTGCGAAGTTTCTTGGCTGGGCGTAGGGAAGGGGATGGGGAAATCTTTTTACACTTATTTAACAACTGCTTGGGCATGGCGAAGCTCACTTTCCTGCTGTATTGACTAATGCACAGGGACTTGTTTGAAGTTAACCTTAGGTTCAAAGGGATTAGATTTGTCTTCACACCCAGGAAATTCATTAGCAGTTCACCTTAAAGGAAACAAACGTGGCTTAATTATGCAGACGAGTCGTTGTTTAAACAATTTCTTAAAGTGTATAAAGCTTGTATCCTAAAAGGGGTGCCCACTTTGGGAGTCCTGCCGAGCACGTTTCCCTCGTTTTGAGGATTTTTGCAAAACTAGGGGCTCTTCATGAGGAGGTGTGTCAATTAAAATGTTGTTGGAAAGGTTAGGCATAAACAGTGTGACGAAATTTGTCTGCAGATCACGCATTAGATGGTTGCCCCGTCCACTCTCTCTCTGCTTCATCTTCTCAGAGTGCACTTTTGATTGGATTGGCGTATTTAATGCTGAAAAAAAAAGCTGCTGACAAAAAAGACGAGTGTCGAGTGGTAATAAGGGGTCTAAATTAGTTAATATGCCATTGGCTCCAAAGCCTTAAGGGTTCATAATCGGGTTGTCATCTTAGCCCTGACAACGTTAGTGACTGTCCGTCCCATCAAATTGACATGAGCACTGGGTTAGGTTAACAGCTACCCTCAGACTTGACAACGTCAAATGCTGACTTTGTAACGGCAAGAAACACTCTCGCCTCAATGAATCATCAGCAGACTACTTCCCTCAGAGGCATCTGTTGGATGGTAACTCGACAGGGAGGTTCCACCCACGTATGCAATGGGACGATCAGGACAGGCGGAAAAAGTGGTGTGAGAGAAAGCACTGCCTGCCACCACAGAGGTTGGGGCACTGGGTCTGAGCCCCATTCAGTGACCGCAGTAGGGCATATGCGCAGTTGAAACGAGTTAGACGATTTCAGGGGTCATAAAACAGCCACTTTTATCGCTACCATTGTTTTATCTGCTCAACTGCGCCACTCAGAAATGGAAGTTGAGATACCACTTTGCGTTTAATTGATAGAATGCAATTTTTTAAAGTTTATTCACTTTCAGAAATAAGAGGGAGGTATAGGAACAGAGTAAAATTAATTTAGTACAAACGCCGAGAACTGAGAAGCAAAAGGTGATGGACAGGTTTAGCGTGCCAACAATTGCGATGCCTCCTAATAATTGGGACTACACATTGCAGGGAGAGTAGCCATACGGAAATGGATCCAAGTGGGAATGCTGCTTTCGAAGCTAATGCACAAAACAAGACAAACGGTCCACTCCTCTTTGCTGGTGCGTACTAGATTGGCCAAGCTCAAAAGTCGATGGCTTTCATCAAAGTACAACAACGCACTGAATAAGGGGAAGATTGGGATTCAGTTATGCTGGATTACAAGAAAATACGAGTAACCTGAGCTCTAAAGATGACGCCTGGCCGAGTCCTCTGCTCTAGCACTACTGCAGCTACCGGAAGGTGGGGCTTACATTTCTCCAACTTTGGATTGACTAGAGAAAAAGAGGGTATCCTTTTTCAGCACCTCCAATCCGTTCATTTTCCTTTGCCAGGAATGAAGTTCAACTATTTCGAAGGGCACTGAGATCGTTGAAGCTTGCCAGTTATCCCAGTCGCCACTTGCAGTCCCATTTGCCATGAATGAGAGTTCTTAATTATAAAGTTTTTGACTTAATATTTGATTGTCAGTGACGCTACGTATCACAAACTTTTTACACCTGACAAGACATATTAAAATGAGACGTGGTTTCCTTCCACCTTAAGCATCGATTGTAGCCATGGCAACAAATAATGGCATAAGGGGGAATGAGCAATGGGAGTGCTTGAACCCTGATTTCACACAAAAAGCATTTCATGCCTTTTCAGGGAACAGGAAGTGATGGGGCGGCAATTTGCTTAACTTCTGCATCATTACAACTGCCTCAGGTGTTCCCACAAGCCTACAAAAAAAAAGAAAAAAAGAACAAAACTATATTAGGGATTGACGCTCCGGAAAAACCTCACCCAATATTATTCACTTCATTAACGAATTCTGCTTGATGTTACAGGAGTGACTCAAATGTTCGAAATCATGCATACATTAGTCACCGGTGGAGGTTATCACACCATTTGTGATAGCTGAATGCACTAAATTTTTCCCTTTTGCATTATAAAATACAACCTTCGAGGTGTAAGTTATCAGATGATCCGAATACCAGCTCAGTTGATTCATTCGATGCAGAATCTATGGTTGGTTAGGAGACTATGTGAGAGGCAGTTTTGACTCTGGCTTTAAGCAAGGTATGCTACTTATTTAACTGACAAAATTATTTCAGTAGCTAGTTCAATTAATCAAAGCCCCAATTGTACAAAATCTTTCGAGGCTGAAATAACATCTGTCCTCGACAAACGTACCAAGGGAGTTTAACTGTCATATTGCAACCGTTTTTTGTAAATTTGATCACAAATAGTCTTGATTTCATCAGGCGAATGGGCGAGGCCAATCATGACCTTAAAAGGGGAACTAAAGGTTGAATACTAGCCCTCAGCTCATTAACTAATTAACTCAGCCTATTATGCAGAGGCCAGACCTATTGTCACACCCAAGGCATCACTTCTCCTCTTCATCCACGTCGTAGCATAGTAGAGCCGTAGACGTCAACTTGCCATCATTAATAATTTGAATAATAAACAGTGCCCTGCTTTTAGCGGTATGTAACCTACGTTGAAATAGTGAAAAGAGAAGTCAGTTACCAGTCAACGCTAACTCACTACTATGGGTTTAAAAACTTGCTATATTTACAGGTAGGCCGTCAAAGGAAATGGGGATTGTGATTTTTAAATGATGCCCTTACATTGAATGAGGAGCTGATCTAATAAAACCAATTATACTTCCTTGCTTCTTTTGCCTTTCACACAAGCTGCCTTGTGAGATAGGTGATTGCCAATTTTGTTGTCTTTTGTTGATTGCTAATGTCCCTAATAAATACAGGCATCGCCTTGCGACTCAGTCAGGTGTAGACCCTAAAAGCTCATTTCCCTCGCTCCTTGGACAATGCTTAATCACCAAAGTAGTCCACTCTTAGCGCTAGAAATGCGATGCTATTAATGTTACTTGCCCTTACCCTCCTGCCAACGGGAGGTGAAGTCCAACTAAAATCTGTCAGCTTTGAAAGGTTTTTCAACTTTTAATCCGCCATTACTGCAAGGTAGAGTTTTGCCATTATAGATTACCTCCACGATGGTTACATCTCACTGCCAATAACCGGAAACTATTTAAAGTTATAATCTTTATTTCTTAAAATTAAAGTGATTGTTGCCTCCGACTCAGGATCAACTTTTTTGGTTTTTTCAGGAGAGAATTTTCTCCAAAATTTTATCACTTGGCATTACAAAGATTTGCAGGATGGGATGGGAATGGGAGGGTAGAGAGGGTATGTTTAGCGTAGTCTTATCGGGTCGTCTACACGCCTCTCCAGTGCTGCATACGAATTGAATATCCACCTCTCACCTACTAAGGACAGCCTGCGCGCACAATATGCATTATCTTTAATACACTATAGAAAGCAGAAAGCCTCTATGATTCGCACAAATACATGACTTTTAAAGGTTGGTACCTCTCGGTGAGGATATTTGCATTCTCAAGCGCTCTAAGCCAGCAACAACATTGCGTTCAAAGATCTTTTGAAAAACAGATTTGTTTGGATTACAAGCGAATTCTGCGAGAATCTTAACGGTTAAAATTTTGATATCAGCGCATGTATGCATTGATTTGAGAACCTTTCACAAGAACTAGGGTCAACGAATTCCACCTGGTGGTCAAATCCCGAACTTTGCATCACTCGCTTATATCGACGTCTATTTCACTCAGTCGCCTTTTTTGCCTTCAAAGCTAGGAATTAGCAGTGCTGATTTAATCACAAGACGTCAGTTACCACTCCTCCATTAAAGTAATTCTCTAGGTAAGCAAAAAAAGGTTTGTGACGGTGATTTCCTTTAGTCTTAAGAGGCCGTAGTAACCATAGCAACAAATAATGATGTACAATTTGACGAGCGCCTTGAACACCTAACCCCTAATTTCGCGACAACACTCCACATTCCATGCATCGAGGCGGTCTTTATCCGGCAATTTTACCAATTTACCCCTTAGGCGTGTGGAGAATTTTTGTGAAGTTGGCAAGGTAAAATATGCCCGATTAATTTTAGTTTTGGACTGCAAAGCTTGCAACATTTAAT